GTGTGCAGAGGTGGAGTTACATGGGATTAGTGAAACATGGGTGTGAGCCGTAGACTTTTTCAATTATATTCTTCGCCCTGTACATAGAAGATTGGTGGTAGTGTGTGTGTGTGTGTGTGTGTGTGGGTGTGTGTGTGTGTGTGTGTGTGTGTGTGTGTGTGTGTGTGTGTCTCAGTCTGGCTCACTTTAATGTCTATGACCTACATGTTTCACCTCCAAGAAATATCACACAGCCAGACAGATACACACGCTGAGACAGACAGACACACACAGAGATATACACACATCTACATAAATACACATATACACACATCTACGTACATACACAGGATAATCTCGCTAACCTCGGTGTTTGGACATTATCATTCATGGGAGGAAGAGATGGAATTATGGGAGGAGGAGATGGATGATAATAAGACCCGTGGGTGTATGGGGCCATTATTCAGGTGGAGGATGGTAATGGTGCTGCCTCCATACCTTGGTTCAGGTTATACCATTAGTTACTATAGAGGCTGTGGGGAGGCAATGGGGAGGAGGGTGAGGAAGGGAGGTGGAAGAGAGGGGAAGAGGGAGAGAAGAGGAGATAGAACGCCTCCTGATTTATCTTCTTAAAATTCAAGTTTGGAGTCCCACTTAGCCCTCGTCTTAGCTTGCAGGAGGAGGGGGAGGAGGAGGAGAGGAGGAGGAGGAGGAGGAGGAGGAGGAGGAGGAGGAGGAGGAGGAGGAGGAGGAGGAGGAGGAGGAGGAGAGGAATACTTTAAACACCAAAAGTTGTCTTGTTATTTTCTCAGTACACGAGAAGGTCTGCAGGTAAGAAGGTCATTCAACACGGTATCTCGTCTCCCAGGGGACTGGTCATTTGGGCCACAGTTTTATCAGGCCCCTGTTCTGTTAGACCCCAATTTCAATACACATAAGTTATAGTAGACTCTATTACGCCCCAGTTCTATTAGACCCCAGGCTGATAGACCCCAGTCCTAATAGACCCCAGTACCCATTCACTACATCGCTAAAGGTCCTTGGGCCCTTTATTTCATCGTTGCCTTTATATAAGAATAAATTTGTCTTCCTGACCAGACAACTTGAACACGTCTTGCCTATCTTATTAAAACATCTCACTACAAAAGTTTCTACATAACTCCTCCTTCACTACAGAGTCCCAGCGTGAAGACAGACGAGCAGGTGTTGTGTTATAAGATATTCAACTGCGAAAATATTCTTTCCACTTTTGTCCTTACTGGAGAAAAAATGATGGTCCATTTTTGGTGTCTTATGAAATGGAAATGTGTCGGGTGGTTCAGGTTTATTGGCCATTATTGTGGTCGTGGTTTAATGGGTTGTGGTTTAATGGTCGTGGTTTAATGGGTCGTGGTTTAATGGGTCGTGGTTTAATGGTCGTGGTTTAATGGGTCGTGGTTTAGTGGGCCGTGGTTTAGTGGGTCGTGGTTTAGTAGGTCGTGGTTTAGTGGTCCTGGTTTAGTGGTTCTGGTTTAGTTGTCTTGGTTTAGTACTTGTCGTATATGCTTTGGTTTAATGGTGATGGTTTAGTGGTCATGGTTAGATTAAGTTAAGTTTCTTCCGGATGCATAAATTAGAGAATCCTGGCGCAGGTTTCCGACACTGGCCAAAGAGACTCCCAGATGAGCTCCCTCTATGAACTGAACACTGAACTCCCAGAATCCTTGAGAGTGTCATCAGAAATTTTTCCTCGACTAAAAATTATTTATAAACATCAAAAGTTTCTGAGTATCTAAGATGGAAGATGTTGTTGGTAATACTTCCCTTATTCATGTAATTTAATACTTCCATCTTGTTTCCCCACGTCTTCTTCTTTATACCATCACTCTCATTCTCCTCTTTCTTCTCCCCATCCATCATCGTTTCTCCTTTTCTTTCTCTTTCTCTGGCAAAACATCATCGTATATCCTCTCTTTAATCAAAAGAACTTCTCAAACAGTTAACGTTTATACATCACAAATCCCGCCACTTTTATCAAACGCTTTTTACCATCATTACCGACTCAGTGTTCACGATTCTACAAACACATTATTTTTTTTTTTTTGGTGATCAAGTTGAAGCGAAGTTTGTTTCCGTGTTCGTGTAAACTTTGCCGAACTCACAACACTGTCACTTTTTACATCCGGATGGTTGAGTCGTGTTGACGAACGCGAGGGATTTGGCCGGATTGAGAAAAAAAAACAAAAAACAAAACACATTGGGTTCATATTGTTGTGGATTTGTGTTTGGTTACGTCTGGCTCACCGTGTGGCTGTTTGTGATTGATTGTGTTGTCGGATATGTGTATGTGTATGTTTTTGTGTGAGTATGTGCTCGCAGGTGTATAAGTATGAACATTAAACTTGGATTATATGAAACTAAAAAACACGGTGGGATGAAACGCGCTTGTCATTACCTCGCTGTCACCACAATTAAAACGACAGAAACATTGCCACCACTTGACAAATGTTACCAATAACGGGGAAACCTCACCACTTAGGTA